AAAAACAGTGGATCTACATAATCGTATACTACAAGAAGAGGTCTATCCAGACATTTGGAAAATATCTAGAATCTGTCCCGTTTTCAAAGCTGGTAAAGTTTCTGATATATCAAATTACAGACCAATCGCATTAATCTCAGTTTTTTCCAAAATTTTTGAAATTATATTTTCTAATATATTATATTCCCACGTAAAAAATTCAATCACGGAATACCAACATAGTTTTGTGAAGCTCAGAAGTACCGCGTCAAATCTGTGTACATTTACGCAATACATATCTAGTTCTTTAGATTGTAGAAATCAAGTTGACGTCGCATACACAGATTTTAGTAAAGCGTTTGATAAGGTGTCTCACAAACAATTGCTTCTGAAACTGAGACAATTTGGTGTTTCAAAGAGTATGCAATCACTGTTAAAGTCTTTTTTAACTAATCGACAGTTATATGTTGAATATGAGAGTACCAAATCTTTTAATTTCGTGTCAACGTCAGGGGTTCCTCAGGGCTCGAATTTGGGCCCTTTATTATTTGTTATTTTTATTAATGACATCTGTCATTGTATCAACTCTAAGAAACTCTTGTTTGCAGACGATATGAAAATTTATAGGGAAATAAAGGATACCTCAGATTGCATTGCTCTTCAAAACGACCTTGTAAACTTACATAACTGGTGTATCGTAAATAAACTATCTTTGAATACTAACAAATGCAAAGTCCTGTCCTTTTCCAGGAAAGTAAACACTGTCTTATACGACTATCAATTAGATAATCTTGTTATTCCCCGGATATATAATTACAAAGATTTAGGTATCTTATTTGACAGCAAACTGACTTTTTCGGAACACATTGAAAATTCTGTGCAAAGTGCAACAAAAATCTTGGGTTTTGTTATTAGAAACTGTAAAAAGTTTAAATCTTTAGAAGCCATCTTCTCTGTTTATTTTTCACTAGTTCGTAGCAAACTGGAGTATTGCAGTTGTGTTTGGAATACTAACCATTTAAAGTACATAAGTGCATTAGAATATGTCCAAAGAAAATTTTTAAAATTTATTTACTTTAAAACACATGGCCGTTATCCTATTCGTCACTATGATTATAATTTATTGTTAGAAGAATTCAGTTTTGTGAGTCTGAGAAAAAGAAGAGAAATAGCAGATTTGATATTCATCTATAAATTAATTAATAATTCTATAGATTCATCTTCTCTGCTATCTCAATTTAATTTTCATATCCCACGTATTACATCAAGGTCAAATATAACATTTCATATTCAAGTGCCAAATTCACAACATCACTTTCACAGTCCTTTAACTACAATATGTAGAAGTATTAATCAGTATTCTGTTGATATATTTGTTCTAAAATTTTACCAATTTAGAGAGCAATGTTACAGATTGGTATCAAATTAGGTAATTAGAATGTAATTTAGTTAAGTAAGTATTCTCAAACTTTGTATTTTTAAATATTATATACTCCTGTAATTAGGCTGATAAAGCCTGTTGGATGTATTAAATAAAATAAATAAATAAATAAATAAAAACAGTAGGTCTGGCAACGCTGATCGTTCCCTCGAATGGTTATCCTGTAAGTGTCGCGCGACACTTCTTAAGCTTGCGAAATGTACGAAGCGTAACATTTATGCATCTGTCGTCCTACTCGACCTTGGGGTCGCCTCAGTGGTCGCTTGTCTCCTGACGCGCCTACCCAAATGGTACCTTTTTATATAGACCACTATTATTTTAAATTACACAAGGTGTAAGGTAACGAAGTGCTTGATGAATAAACTAGAATATGAGTCAGTAGGTATAGTGCAAGCCGATGGGCTCGATAATTAATGTTTTTCTCTAGATAAAATGAGTAACCCAAATAAATCATCAAAATAATAAAACGTCTATTGTAAAAGAATTTTATTGTTAAGTACATTGAATACATATATTGTAAACAAAGTATACAGGATGTTTCTTCAAACAAATTTAAAAAATAAATACGAAAATACGAGATTTATTAATTATCAAAAGGCTGGTATCAAATTAAGATACAATGTAGTTTCACTGCTCTAGCGATCACTGGAAAAAACCAGTTTCGCTCAATGAAATCTTAATAAATCTCTATTTTTTTTTAACCCAATTTTTTTCTTTTTATTACCAAAATGTAAATGGTTTATAAAGGGGTTTCTTGTCCAAAATAGTTTGGGAATCCCTGGTGTAAAAGAATCACATTATCAAAATAAGAGATGAAAAAAAAAAGAATGGTCAACAAATAAAGTTTCTATATTCTAAGTGATTCATCTTTTAGGCCAGTCTTGTAAAGACATCCTGTTTTGAACATTTGAACATTAATTTCAAAAGTTTTCAAACTTTGAAATAATAATCGGCTCGTTTAAATAACGCTAAGTTTAAATTTGCAATCATTTCCAAGGTCCGGAACTAGTTAATTTATACCAAAATGGCACTTTTGTTTGTAATTGTAAAAGTGCTACAAACTTGAAGCAATATATATTGTATTATTTTCAACATTATTAGATTTGCAACTTTTTTGAAAGTCCGGAACATGATTTTTTTTTCTAAAATAGCGTTTTTGTTTATATCATAGACAAAAAAATTATAAAAGTGCTGCAAACCGATGACATAACTCATAAAAGTTTTTCAAACAGTTATTCCAATTTGCAACCTTTTATTTTGCACGAAAATATTTTTTTTTCGTAAATATATCAAAATAATTTTTTATTCAATTGCTTCTTCTGATAGCATACCAATAGGCAACACAGCAGCTTTTATTATGTCCGCATCGTGTCACAAAATTTTGTGGACGCCAGACGGCATGTAGTACCATGAATATTGGTCTATGTACATTGCAACTGTTTCGTGCGCATATTTCTTAAAAGCTTCAACGTTGACTGCGTAACCACAAGCCATTGTCTTTATTAACACCTGTGATAGATGATGCTAGACCTGGGTTTTGGAAAAACCGTCTGGTTGTGTTTCTATCGTTGGTAGTTCCATAACCTGGTTTTGGTATATCTACAAGAAGATTCACCTCTTGTTTTATATCGTCTATAATTTTCTTCTTCCTTTCTTTCATGATCAGCTTGTCTTCCGTTCTGCGAATTTGCCACTTTTTGCAGTCAAGTCTATAAGAAATATGTAATATGCACTAGAAGCATCTAATCCAGGCGTGCAGTGTCGAAAGCCGGTATTCATATAAACTTTCATTTGGTTTCAAAGTACTTAGCTTTTTAACATCATTCATTATTTTTGGCGTAGCTCCACAGATCCCACATGACTGTGACGATGATTCTGAAATTGCACTGAATGTCTTACCGTTATTCATTGTTAAACAGAATTTGTGGTTGATGTTTATATTAAACTCCTCTATTCTTGTTGGAAATATATTTTCTATCTGTTCCTTTTTTGTTAGTGGTGTACTCTCTTTGTCGAACAACAGTTTAATCGGTCGACAAAACCTGATTGATGATGAGCGTGGATTTTGCCATACGATGTTGTTATCCACATGGACGAGTGTTATTCACTGATTCGTGAAAACACAAAAAAACCTGAGTGGATTTGAGTGAAATACTTTTATGAAAACGGAAAATCAAATTAGTCGTTATAAAAGCATTCAGTGTACAACTCGAATGGATAAGTTTTATTCCCAAAGTAATGGATTCAGAGCACCGTTAGAAACTTACTTTGATTACTCGAATGTCGACACATTATCCAATAACAAATACCAAGATCCAGACTTCCCACATAAAGAATCAATCGTTAAAATAATGATTAATATTATTTTATTCTCGGAATTAGTTTTATATTAATTTATGCTCTAGCTGCAGTTATAACTTTTACATATCCGCACTTCTAGTTGTGTTATCGGTTTGCAGCTCTTTTGCAATTTTTTTGTCTATGATATAAACAAAAACACTATTTTACAAACAAAAAATCATGTTCCGGACCTCAGAAAAAGTTGCAAAATTAAATTTACAATTATTTCAATTTAATGAATGTTCTAACAAAGTTTTGTAATTAATGTGAATTGTTTATCTCCAATGACTGGCCTATTTACAAAAACTACTAAATAGTAATATATTCTGTAACAATTCCTTTATATTTAACGGCCTTTAAAAATATTTTCTTCTTTACTTCTGTCATTATTTAAACGGATTTTTAAAATACATTAGAGGACTATCTTAAAGAAATCTGTTTAAATAATGACACAAGTAAATTAACGAATACAAATATACTTTTAAAGGCCGCCAATATTTTTAAAGGCCGTTAAATATAAAGGAATTGTTACAAAATAGACCCCTATGCACGTGAGTTTAAGATCTAATAAATATACTCCAAGTAATACCAATTAGATAAAGTGAAATGATAGTCAAGTAAAACTTTAAGAATTTTATTTAACGACTATATTTATATTCAAGATCAAATACATTTCAAATTTAAGGCTTTAATCCTAGTCATAATGGGGTCCAAGATAATGGAGAAAACACTGTAATTGCAATGAACGGAAAGAGGGATATACTGTTTTCTAATTTTATATAAGTTCACAGTAAATCTTTAAATTAGGATGATTTATTTGTATTTTTTAAATTGTAAATGATAATAAATATAACTATGTTGAAAATTAGACACTAATTATTTTTTTCTTGTGGAATTGTGATTTGCAGGATTGCACTTCTGAAAGTTAAAAATGAACCTCCATTTTTTTACCAGATACAAAGTAAGTTTTTACTGGTAACCTGATCCAATTTAGCCATTTTTTCAAAGTGCAAATACCTTATATGTATACGCAATTAACTATCAAATTGAATGCACAAAACTTAATTTGTAAATTACACATACTATTTTACAAAATGTAATAATTGTTCATATAGATAAAGATAATTTTATTGTTTAGAAAACCGGGCACGTCATTATGAAACACCATGTATACCCGTTCACATGGCAGGTGCTCCTGCTACTATATTGTGCATTAAGTGCCTGCTTATTTATATGAAAATGATTTGCGTTAAGTAAATAAATGTAATATATCTTGATAATTATTTTATTGAAGTACACTGATATAATGATTAAATTATATCTCAAGAAAATATTCACCACACTAAATTATTCAATATTTTTTGGTGCACGGTTGATCTAAGAAGGAGGTGAAGGTTCTGACTAATCGAAAGGGACGATTTACGATAAATCGTTTCTACATCAATTTAATTATTAGAAACTGTTACTCTTGATACGCAAAAGTGTTTTGAAATATGTCTCAAGAATTCGATGAAGAAAGTAACCCCCAGATAAACATCCACCGACGTTTGTATGAACATGATCAACTCAGGCAAGATTTCATGTACGAAAAACCAAAATTTACATGTAAGTAGACAACTGAAAAAATTATTTTTATTAGTTTTTAATACCATTTTAATACAGTTTTGATATCATATCATTAGTTTCGTATGTACCTAAAGTCCCATCTTCAGAATTTTTTTTTTGAAGTGATACAGGGTGATCAAGTAGATATATTAATTTATAACTTAAATCAACATATATTCAGTAAGTTTATTTTTTTCCCATTCTAAAAAAGATGATGTCTAACCGTTTTTTATTATTTTCTATACTAATTAGAAGAATTTAAAATAATTGTTACATTTCTTTGTATTGAATATTAATAACATTACAATTAGTAGCCCAACATGGATCAACTTGGACAGCAGCATGTTGATAGTCCATTTATTGACCATTCATGTGCCTTTGATTGTCTTAATTTACTAAAAAAAGAAACTTGTATGATATTGTGCCTAGAAGAATATTTTTTATCTAGCGTTGTAGTTTTGTCTTAGATATTTCAATGTCTATTGAATTAAAGTTCTCTAAACGGGATAATTGTGTGAACCTCAAGGATCTCTACTTGTAACATCATTGTTTTTAATTCTTAATAATGACTTCTAACAGCATATTTTTAATTTTTGTTTGGTTGTATTACACTTAGCTATATTTCAGCTAACCATTAATTTGTCTTCATCATATTTTTAAGTAAACTTAAGAATCTTGAAACTCAAAGTTCAGCCAATAGTATCCTTCTCCTATTCTCCCATTCTGATGTTCAAACTTTGGAAGTATACACTGCACATTTCATATCACTAATTCAAATGGTTGGATCCTTTTGATGCTTCTCATAAGGTATTGGTTGTCCAGCAACTGTAGAACTTCAATAATTCATTTTTTTTGCAATGTTTTTCCTCTTCTTCAACTGTTGCATTTTCAGATCTCTTTCAAGATCTGAGTACCTCACATGGTGCATGTATGCGTTTACTATTGCCCTTAATATTTTGTTCGGGAAACGTATTATATTTATGTAATTTTACTAACACACTCCATAGCTTCATTACCTACTTGTTTGTATTAAAATTTTATTTTCAAATGAAAATTTTGATTTTAAATTCATCAACCAATATAATTTTCTATATTAAATATCTAACTCTTTCCATTTTTTCTTTATGGGTTGTTTTTAATTTTATACCTAGGTTCATGCCCAAGTATTTCGTCGAATTAGAACAATTTGGTATCTTCTTCGAGCATATATATTTCAGCTCGAAGGGTATCCTAGTATTGTTCATGTTTATTATCATTGACAGGTATTCTGCTAATCTAGAATAAGTGAAGTTAACCTGTTTTAGTTTTGTTGAGCTTAATGCGTCACCTTTTTATCTACTCGTTAATTTTAATAGTTGCTTGTTGAAGTTTTTTGGTTGATTCTTCTATAGTTTTACAGATGTCAAGTACGACTGTGTCGTCGGCAAATGTGACTACGTTTACATTATAATTTGTAGTACGTCGGAAATATACTTCCTTGAGATACCATTGTTTTAATTTCTGTCACAGCAAACAAACGAAAATGAAACTACTTTATATAAATAAAAATTTCCTTGGTTTATTCGGTCGTTTTTATTTTATATTGTTTAGCACAGCACTACATATGTTTCGGAAAACTTTTCCATCTTCAATTGCAGTCAAAATTAAAAGAAAAACATGAAGGCCATTACAAACAATTTAAAATTGTTTTAAAATAACTGTCTGAAAAAAACATCACAAGTAGTCTCGGCGAAGACCTTTGAGGAATTTATAATAGAATGTAAACATATAATTTATATTATACGCAAAAATTCCTATTATCTGTAATTTTGACATTTGGATTTTGTAACTCCTGTACACGTCAAACTTCCTGAGCGGCTTCATGACACCAAGTGGGACAAATTTTTTCATATGCAACACCCTGAGCAATGGGACGTGTTCGGGCTAGCTCTTCATGAAGTTGTCATTCTGGCATCTCTAAAGAAGTAGATACATGTATCTGTAGTTTTATTGTCAATCGACGGTTTTTTTATATTATATTAACGATATTACATTTGTAAAAAAGAAAATAATGCAACTCAAATGTGATCAAGACGTAAAATAAAATAAATAAATAAATAAATAAATCTAAAAGCCAATATCACATAATTACGAGCGACCGTTTCCCTTCAAAAAACAACTAATCCTTTGGCTAATACCACAACAGGTATTGAATTATATCCAAAGGAAAGATAGCAAAGATAGAAATTAATTAATTTCTATGTGATATTGGCTTTTAGATTTATTTATTTAATTTTTGATATTACATTTATTGGACAAAAATCACGTGATGATTTGTGTCTGACAAATGTGATTTCGTTAATGTTACATAAAGAAACTACACATACATGTATCAACTTCCTTAGGCACGTCACAGCGACGTGTTGGGGATGTGGGACTGTCACAAAGCCACGTGATTTTTATCCGAAAAATATGATTTCGTTAATGTTATATAAAAAAACAGCCGATTAACATTAAAACTACACGTACATGTATCAACTTCCTTAGGGACGCCACACCAGTATGTTGGGGATGTGGGACTCCCCCAAAGTCCCGTGATTTTGTCCGAAAAATATAATTTCGTTATTGTTACATAAAAAAACGGTCGATTAACAATAAAACTACACGTCTTTAAGGACGCCACACACAAAATGTGTACTATATTCGAGATAAATGGTCTTATTTCAATGCTTTGTTGTGTTTGTAGTGTTTGTAGTAATATTTCTAGGTACAGGTATTTATTTAAGAATCAAAATTTGTGTCTAGTAATATATAATCATACTTTATATTTATTTAAGGATTTTTTATAAAACCGATTTATTATATTGATTTTTTTTGTAAATTTTAGTTCATTTATTAATTTTGTTTTAAAATCAGTTCATCATTTGGCAACATTGACGTTCTGTTCATTGTTTACATTTTAATTTGTATCAATTACAATTAGAGTTTTTTCTTACTTTTTAGCTTTAAATTTTTTATTTATTATAGTATGTGATAGTGTTTATATTAAAAATGAAATCTGCGAAAAAGTCCCCAGCAAATTGTAATCTATTAATGTCAAAATCAAAACTGAAGTATTCATTATTTTTCAAGTGCAAGTCGTAAAATTTTGTTTCTTATAATAAATGGATATCTGCAAATTCACAATATTAAAATTTTGCAAATCTTTGTTTAGAATCAAACTGTAATCTGATTTGTGACGGTTTTATTACCATTTACATGTATACAAAGTACTACACAAATCACTTCTTAATATAGGAATAAGGATAGTAAATTTTTAATTAAGTTCATCAATAATAAACGTTTGGTACCTTAAATATCCTTTAAACCACATAATAAAACATGTCCTGGGTTTAGTAAATACATATTTCTAGATGTTCTTGTAGCAACCAATAGGTGAATATTTACAACAAATTAAGTCATTCACATATCTGTATCTGTAATGTGGAGGGTGGGTTACCCCACAACACTTAGGCCTCATTAGGCCCATTGTGCATCCTCTTGAGAAGATAGGCACCTCCTAGCTCGTGAGCCAGCCTATAGATTTAATGTAGTTGACAACGTCGCCAAGAAGTGCTTCTCTTATATCGGCCGGTGTTAGCCGATACTCGCCGAACACAAATCTTCTAATAAATGAGAGCGTCGAGCAATCGTAAAGGATATGCTCGATGGTCTCATCTTTTTGTTCGCACCCTTTGCAGAGTGCGGATTCTGACAGCCCCATGATATGGAGATGCTTTCATACTTGACAATGACCAGTCAGAATGCCTGTGACTAGGCGCAGATTATGTCTAGTCATAGTCAAGTATTTGTTTGCTGCAGTGTTGTCAGGATAACTTAAGAGTCCCTGGCAACTCTGCAGTTTCTTGTTTCATCCCATATTTCGTTGAATTTCACAAGGGAATGTTCTTTGATTAGGTCTGTCACTACCGATTTGGTCAGGCCAATAGAAGGGCCAGGTGCAAAAAGTATTTCGATGTGGCATGACCTTTAATCCACGTTGTTGATGGATACTTTGGTCAAAGCTTCGTGACATTCTAGTACTAACCCTGAATAAATTCGTGGTTTGTTAAGGGTGATTAGTGCTTGTCTGCTATCTGTATAGATAAGCATGTTTCTTCCAGTGACATTGTTTCTGGTTATTTATTTTGCTACTATGAGAAACTCCGTTAACTCCGGTTGAACTTCACTGGCACTATTGGTCACAGCCCATTTTATGTTTAGGTTTAAGAATCCGGAGTATATTCCACATCCTGAGCCTTGTTTTGTTTTAGAACCGTCGGTGTAGATATGAATCGTACCTGCCACTTCTGGCTATTCTATTTGTTCTATTATAACTTTATATGGCTTATGAAAGATACATTTTGGTGAGATGGAGTCCATGTTTGCTTGAAGTAGTGGGAGCGTATCCAGCGCCTCCTGCCAAAAGTGACGTCTCGCCTCGCCAGATCCTGCATCAGGTTCTATTCCGACCGTACGGAGGCGTTTCATTGTCGTCACAGCAACCTCCTTGATGTAAATATCAAGGGGAGTGAGACTAAGAATGACTTCCATGGCTCTAGTCGGTGTTGTTTTCATGGCTCCTGTTATGTTGAGACATGTGTTAAGTCATTCACATGATAAATATTATATTTATGACGAAAGCACGAGAAATAAAATTAAATTAACACTAAATGAAACTCAAAAACACTATTAAAATGAGAATATTTTCTAAAAACAGTTAAAAAAGTCACAAATACAAAATCCGCTCAAAACAAACACATGTAAATAAAAAAACATCCTACTTATAGGTGACAAATTACAGACGCGCGAAAATTAATTTGAATTGCGAATATCTAATAAATAGACAGTGTAAAAATACTTAATACAATTTGGCGAGTGGTTTCGGCTTCACAAAACCATCATCATAGCCTAAACAAATACAAATAAAAATATTTAAGCAAACCTTCACCTGTTACTATGACTGTGACCTTTCATTTCTA